AAACATCGAGGTGAGAGACACATCTATTGGTTGCCTCCCACACACATCCTGATCAGAGCCAGGGATTGAAAAACAACAGAGGTGCGTGCCCTTGACTAGGAATAGAATCCATTACCACTCAGTCTGTGGGCCGATGCTAACCATTGAGCTAAATTGACCAGGGCATATCCCTCCCTATTTTAAAATGCCACACATGTAGGAGTGGTCCATTCTGCAATTCTGCCCCAAGTCTCTGCCCCTCCTACTAGTCTCCATGTGCTTCTTCTTTAATTCCCTAGGTGTAGGACTTCCATTCAGCTAGATCTCAGTTGGCTCTGAATGATGGTTGTTATAATGTGGTGGTGGGAGGCAGTGAGTTCCATGTTTACCTGTGTTGCCATCTTGACCAGAACTCTAAGATATTCGATTTTAAATGTTCTCACCAGGAAAAAAAAAAATGCTAAGAGATATGTTAATTAACTTAGTTGTGGTAGTTGTTTCATTATGTATAACACTAAAGGCCTGGTGCACAAATTTGTGCACAGGTGGGGGTCGCTCGTCCTGGCCGGTGATCAGGACCAATTGGGGCATCTTGCCCAGTTCCAATCGGGGCCACAGGAGGGCTGCAGGAGGTTGGCTGGCCACATAAGGTTGGCTGTAGAAGCACACTGACCACCAGGGGGCAGCTCCTGTGCTGAGTATCTTTTCCCTAATAGTGTGCATCTTAGCAACTGGTCAACCGGTTGTTCCAGTAATGGTCACTTAGGCTTTTTTATATATAGATATATTAAATTATTTAATCGTGCACCTTAAAAACAAACACATTGTACAACCTAAACATATAAAATTTTGTCAATCAAGCCTCAGCAGAGCTGGGGGGGGGGGGGCGCGTAGATGCTAATTGTGTTCCACACAGTAAGGAAATTTACACAATGGGGCTTGTTTATGAAGATTGCAGAAGACCCTGACTGCCTTCCTGCTAAAACATTGCTGTAGAAGCCTGAGAACTGTAACAACGTTTTCCCCTCTTGTTTTAAAGAGCCCAAGAGAAGCAGAGGCTATAACTGCTCTCATTAGCCCAGTTCTGGGGAGACAAAAACCCTAACTACCGAAAATTGCTTTGATTTAATGTAAATCCTACAAGCTGGAGGTATTTTTCTCCTATTGACTCTGCATCTCACTGCCTACTGTGGTAAAGCTTCTTGTTCCATGTGGCAAAGCCCCAGTGAAAACAGACATGAGATATTTCCATAGCAGCGAACAGAGTGGTAGTCTCAAAGCTAGGTATCACACGTGACACCTCAAACTCTCCACCATGAGTAGCTTCTTAAATTCAAGAAGGCCAAATACCTTCAAGGTTAAGGCTAAGTGCGCAAGCTCTGCAGGTTACTACCTGAGTTCAAATTCCAGCTTCACCACTACTGCATAACTGTGGGCAAGTTTCTGGCCCTCTCCGGGCCCACTTTGCTTATTTAAAAAAACAGGATAGCCGAAACCGGTTTGGCTCAGTGGATAGAGCGTCAGTCTGTGGACTGTAAGGTCCCAGGTTCGATTCTGGTCAAGGGCATGTACATTGGTTGTGGGCACATCCCCGGTGGGGGTGTGCAGGAGGCAGCTGGTCAATGTTTCTCTTTCATTGATGTTTCTAGCTCTCTATCCCTCTCTCTTCCTCTCTGTAAAAAATCAATAAAATATATTTAACACACACACACACATACACACACACAAAAACAAAACAAAACAAAACAAAAAAAACAGGACAGTGACAGACAGCACCTACCTTGTGGGGTTCTTGTGAAAATTAAATGAGATAATCCTTTTACAGCCTTACATTTAGTAAATACTCAACATTTCAAGTAAAGGCAGTACTGTTTTCATTTGGCAATCCCACCTAAGTTTTCATGATATTCTATTGGGTTAGCAAATAGAGGTGGTCGAAACTGGAATATTATTAGGTCCTTATACAAATTGCTATCTATACTCTTTATGCTAGCATTTGTTTCCATTTGCAACATACCAGTTATGAAATAGAAACTTCCTAGTCATTCCTTCTAAAATAATGCTTCAAAAAATTTTATATTACTTTGAGAATCAGTGGCCTAAACTATATATATCTTACTTGCTATAATGCCTTCAAGTCACCTTGCAAACCTAGTGAACCTGTTTTTCCACTCCTGCTTCCACACCTACATTTTCTCTTCTTTTCCCTAAGGTAGTAGTTCTCAAAGTATAGTCCCCGGACCAGCAGGATCAGCATCCAGCATCACCTGGGAACTTGGTTTTTAAAATTTTATTTTATGCTGAATACGGTTTGGCTCAGTGGATAGAGCATTGGCCTTCGGACTGAAATTCCAGTCAAGGGCATGTACATTGGTTGCAGCCACATTCCCGGTGGGGGGTATGCAGGAGGCAGCAGGTCGATGATTCTCTCTCATCGACGTTTCTAGCTCTCTATCCCTCTCCCTTCCTCTCTGTAAAAAATCAATAAAATATATATATTTTTTAAAGTTATTTTATTTCCATACTAGTGACCTGGTGCACGAATTTGTGCACATTGAAAGGAAATTAATTAGAAGGTAGCCAGTGAGGTGAGATGGGCCAGACACACCCTGGAGCCAACCTCCTGCAGTCCCCCCACAGTCAACTGCACCTGGGGTGGCACTGTGGCTTGAAGGATGTCTGTGGAGTGAGCAGGGTCCCTCGGACAGGTGGTGTCTCTTGACCTGGCCTGCGGGGATCCAGCCGAAACCAGCTCTCTGACATTCTCCAAAGGGTCCTGGAGTATGAGGAATTAGACTTCCTCCTCTCTGGTTCCAGGGTGTCATCTGAGAACCACTGCTGCTAAGTCACTGCAGCTCAGCAGCTCCTGCATTGAGTGTCTGCCCCCTGGTGGTCTGTGTGTATCATATCTACTGACCAGTTGGACAGTCCCTTTTCTACACCCCCCTCCCCCCAGCAATCACCACACTGCTGTCTATATCTTTTTTGCTCAATCCTTCCACCCTCCCCAACATCCCCCTACACACACATACCAGAGCTGTCTGCTTGCTTTCTATCTATGACTCTGTCTCCCAGCAATTCCACTTCTGGAAAATTTATCTGAAGAAACATGAATCACTAATTTGAAAGAATATATGTACCCCTATGTTCACTGCAGTGTTCTTTACAATAGCCAAGATTTGGAAGCAGTTCAAGTGCCCATCAGTAGATGAGTGGATAAAAAAACTGGTACATTTACACTATGGATTACTCCTCTGCCTGAAAAAGGAAGAAAATTTTACCCTTTGTGATAGCATGAATGGACCTGAAGGATATTATGCTAAGCAAAATAAACCAAAGACAAATACCATATGATCTCACTAATCTGTGGAATTTAATGAACAGACCAATGTCTGGTTTGATATCTTCTCTCCATTTCTGTGTGCATGCCTTCACTGTGTACTTGTTTACTTCAGTGCTCCACCTTAAAATATATTTTTGTCTTCAATGACGACTAGTCATTACCATAAGGATTATGTTGACTCATGTTATTTTGCTAACCTTTCATCCTTTTATATATCCAAGTTATAACTAGAATCTGAACAAGTTGAGTCAAGAGCAAATAATGATATAATTTTGTGTTTTTTGTGTGCTCATTTAATTTAATGTCTATATCTATATCTATCCAACTTCTAAAAAAAATGCTTTTAGTAGCTCCTTCAAATACCACCCCAGGTATTGAGGATAATGAGTCATGCCAAATCACGACTTCTATTAGTCATAGAACAGATCCCCGGTTCATTTGCTCTTCTCATTTTCCTAAGCGTTAAAAGGATAAAAAAATCTGGAGCATCTACTTAAAAAAACTCGCCTTCTCCAGAAGATTAATACAATTGTTGATCAAATTAGTCCCACGCAGTTCTCTTAAGACTTGAGATTATTAATCTAAATAATGTAGGCTACCAAAAGCACATGCACTTTGCTGTTCAGTGAAAAACTCTTTCAACTGGGGATAATAAGACGGGAAATGGTGACGTTCTGGTGGTCTGAAAGAAGTATCTTCAGAACACAGAGACGAGAAATGAGATGAGTCTACTGTGCTACACACTCCCTAAATGCATTTGTGTTTTGTTGGCGTATCTATGGAAGCTGAAAAGGTTGGGGCTTTGAGTAATTCTAGTGTGTGTTGTTAAGTTCCATTTCTCCCAGTTCACAATGCTTCATGTTTTCTTTAGGAGATGAAGTCAAATAGAATAATGCTACTTGACTAGCATAATGAAGGCATATCCTATCTATACTAATAGGAGTGAAATATGCAAATTGACCATACATCCGTTACACCCACCAGCCAATCAGGAGTATGCAAATGAACTCAATAAAGATGGCAGGTTAATTTGCATACACAGGCACAGAGCAGCTGGGTGGGTCAGGACGCCTGCTGGGTGGGGGGCAGAGGGAGCTATAGGAGCAGACTTGCAAAGGCCCCCCCGGGCAGCTGGGAGCAAAGCCAGGGGAAGGCAGGCCTATTCTTACATGAACCTTTGTACAATGGCCTTTGCTTAGGTGTAATAGAATATATAAAATTCACCATTTCTGGACCTCAAAGAAAGAAGTCACATTTCACAAATCCTTTTATTTCTCCTCAACTTTTTATTCGTTCCTTCTCCAGTTACATCCTAGAACAGGCTTTCAACACACTTCAAGCCTAGATTACTACCAGAGCTTCCCCAACCGCCATCCGTCAGCCCATAGAGTCTAGGTTAATTTTCTTTCAAAATTCCTTTCATTTAATTCCCCTCCTCAAAAACCTACAATGGTCTCCTACTTCCTAACACATTACCTTTAAACTCTTCTGCCTAGATTTAAGGCTATCATCAGGCTCCATCCTTTGCACCCAACATTATTTTGTACTATTTCACAGTAAGAAATGGATTCCCTTCTAGACTAACAGTGAAATTAACTTGTTCTTCCTTAGGAAAAAACTTAAATAAATAAGAAAGAAAAACAGACACTGAATCTCTAACAGCAAGTTTTATTTGTCATCGGAGTTAAGGATCATTTTAACGCATGCTGAGGAATAGTAATACTCCAAATTTCTAGGTTACTATCATAGGGAATACAAGACAATGTTAAAAGAGGCTTTGGCACACACAACTATTGGAACAAGATTATCAGAACACGCTATTAAAACCTTATCATCAGAACACTCACATATTACCTAGTTTTATGTCAGATCGGATTCATGGACAGCTCATCTTCTAGTTTCTCATTGGCTATTTGCGTAAATAGCATTCAAGGGTAAACATTAAGACTGAGGAGTGGGGAAGAAATACAGAAGTGGTAAGCATCACAACATTTCAGAGTCTACATATACTAATTCAACAGTAAGATTAAGAAACAGTATTTTGATTTCTTTTCTGAAACAGCATTTTGGCAATGCTTAGCGCATGAGAAGACACTGCTTTGGTCCGTCCACTCTTTCCAGCTTTTCAAAGTGTTTCCTGGCATTGCGGATGTTGATCAGAGTCGCTGCAGAAGCTGGGGGTGGGGGTGGGGGAGATACCCAACAAAGTAAGTACAGGCAGTCAAAGAAATGTCTATTAAAAACAAATAAACAAAGGAGATCCAAATCCCTCAAAGTAGTAGGACGTAGACAACATATAGGAATATGAGGCCCCAAGTTAAGCACAGTTTAGTTTTTCTGAAAAAGTGTGTTTATATTATAAACACAAACTTTCCAACATAAATTATTAAAAAATTATATTTGGGGGATAATACTATAAAACCTACTAACCTATATTATATTATATTATATTATATTATATTATTATATTATATATTTTAAATATGTTTTATTGATATCAGAGAGAGGAAGGGAGAGGGAGAGAGAAATAGGAAGATCAATGATGAGAGAGAATTATCGATCGGCTGCCCCTCACTGGAGATTAAGCCCGCAATCTGGACATGAGCCCTGACCAGGAATCAAACCCTGACCTCCTGGTTTATAGGTTGACGCTCAACCACTGAGCCACACCAGCCAGGCTTATGTTACATTTTAATATTAACCTAAGGTAGAAAAAAAAACAGTGAATCAGAGATAACTTAAACTTCTGGGAACATCCTGAAAATACTGCTACAACCTTTATTTTAATGATTGAGATGAATCTGACAATTATGGCATGGAAGCACCAAATATCTCCCTGTATGCCCATAACACAAATATGGCGATATGCTACTTAGAAATATACAGTAACATATAAAATAATCAATATTTAATAGTTCAGAGCTAAGACTGACTAGTCTTTTAAAAATCTAGCCCTGCCAGTGTGGCTCAGTGGTTGAGTGTTGTCCTATGAACTAGGATGTCACAGATCAATTCCTGAGTTGCAGCTTGGTTCCTGGTAGGGAGTGAGCAGGAGGCAGCTGACCAATGATTATCTCATCACTAATGGTTCTAACTCTCTCTCCCTCTCCCTTCCCCTCTGAAATCAATAAAAAATATTTTTAAAAAAATCTATACTATATATCATATATTTGGGTTCTTCTTTCTTGAAGTTCCCAAGAACAAAAGATAATACCATAGAGCCTAAATTATTTTTAAGCTTCAAAATATACATTTATTAAATAGAAAAAAAATACTGATTACTAGTACTAAGATAGTTTTTTTGTGTGATAAAACATATATAACAAGAAATTTAGCCCTGGACATGTGGTTCAGTTAGTTGGACATCAACCTATGCACCAAAAGGTTGCCAATTTGATTCCCAGTTAGGCACCTGCTCAGGTTCTGGGCTTGATTCCCAGTAAGGTGTGTGAAGGAGGCAGCCGATCGATGTTTCCTTCACATGAATGTTTTTCTGTCCCCTCCTCTCTCTAAAAAGTCAATAAAATCTTTTAAAAATTTACCATTTTATCTATTTCTAAATGTACACAGGTCAGTGGCCTTAAGTACATTCACACTGTTTCGAAACCATTCTCACTCACTACAAAATAGTTTTTCAATATCTGAGTCCTACCTCTAGGGCAGTGGTTGGCAAACTCATTAGTCAACACAGCCAAATATCAACAGTACAACAATTGACATTTCTTTTCACAGCTAAATTTTTAAAACTTAAACTACATAGGTAGGCACATTGTTATTAACTTCATTAGGGTGCTCCTAAGCAGGCCTTTGCTAAAAACTCAAGGGGCCAAAGAGCTGCATGTGGCTCGCGAGCCGCAGTTTGCCGACCACTACTCTAGGGCAATAAGTTTAAAGAATATGTACGTGGCTTTGAACCAATGTGAACTAAGTTTAAACTTACGAATGGATGGATCAGACATCACAACCATCACATAGGTGTTGGATGTAAAGATATCAATGAAAGCAGCGAAGTTAGAGTTCCTTACTTCCATGCTCTGGAAAGAAGCAGCCAGCTTGCTATGGGAGAGAAGAGAAAAGAGCAAAGAACATAAAATAATAGCAATATAAGAATTTTTATGTTTCAGGAAAACATTTTCATAGCATTATACCGTAATTGACCTCTTCATTAAGACAGTTCATCACTAGCTCCACTTTGTTTTCCAAGGAAACTCTAATGCTCAATTGATCATAGTTTGGAAAGTGACTTAGAGAGTTAGGCCTTGATATATATTTTTATTGATTATGGTATCACATAATTGTCCTCATCCTCCCATTCCCATCCCAAACCCCTCCCCACATATACCCTCACCCCTTTAGGCCTTGATATTGACTGTGAAATCAAAGTGGGTGTAGACTTAGATCCCTGTTAAAAATCATGTTATAAAAGATTTTTATTTAAGAAGCTTTTAGCTGAGGCCGGTTTGGCTCAGTGGATAGAGCATCGGCTTGGGGACTGAAGGGTCCCGGGTTCGATTCCGGTCAAGGGCATGTACCTTGGTTGCGGCCACATTCCCAGTAGGGGGTGTGCAGGAGGCAGCTGATCATGCTTCTCTCTCATTGATGTTCCTAATTCTCTATCCCTCTCCCTTCCTCTCTGTACAAAATCAATAAAATATATTTTTTTTAAAAAAAGCTTTTAAATTTGAAATTCCTCTATCACTAGGATTAATTTTTGAATTTTAATTACCTGGAAATTCAAGAAATGATCCCATCTCTTTGAAAACAAATCAAGGAAATTATATTTGCATTTCGTTCTATATTTCTCCTTAAAAACGTTAGCATTAAACATGCCACGAAGTCCCAAAGTATCTTTTATGCTAAGGCATAAAAGGAATAAACTCATACCTATTCTACTGTCTGGGTATCCACGTTTTACCAGAGTAAGAATTTTGATTCTTAGATATTTAAGAAATTGTGATGTTCAGCCATTGCATCTGCCTATATTCACAACACTAAGACTCAAATTGTATTTAATCCAAGCTGAGGCAACATGATTAGACATTCCCAGACTCTATTTTGTACCATTCCTGAATCAGTGCTCCCTATTTTAATTAGAAAACCTTGGTATTTGGTGGGGTAAATTATCCTACTTTCTTCTTTTTTAAAACTCTCTTGGACATTTTTTATTTCTTTCCAAACAGAATCAAACATCTCAAAAGGGTACTCTGCTTAGATCTTTTTCATATGCTTCTTCTGTAGCCCTTGAGTTTACATGAAAGGACAATGAATTTCATTCCCCTCAGACAAAGGGAGGCTCCCTTAGACTTTAGCTTTCTTTTCAATTGAAGGAACTATTCTGGATAGAGAATGTAGTCCACTCTAGTTATTTGTACCTCTCAAAATAACATTAATTTTTCCCAGTGATAAATAGATCCCACAAGACCTCTTACCTGCAGCTCAGCTTAAACTGCTTAATAATGTTGCTGATTTTTTCAAATCTGTGGGCATCACGCTGCTCTTTGCACTGATAGTGAGAAATCACCTATGAAAAAGAGCAATGCCCTGTAAGTCCATGCAATGTAGTCATATCACCCACCGTGACTGCTCTAGGCCAGCATCTGTCAGCCTCCTGTCACCTGATTTTCAGGGCAGACTTGGCACCTGGCTTACCATTTGTTTCCCTCAGCCCCATAGGCTGCCAACATTATGCAGAATTTCAACATACTTATGGATGACTCATCCCATAGTTTGGTTATCATTTTATTAGATCACTCAAGTATTATCTATTTTGATTTGTTGGTCTTCTTTATCACTTGCTTTAATCATGAAATGTTCATCTTATTTCAATATTTCTCAGGATGGTCTTTGATTAAAAAAATACAAATCGAAAAAGAAAAATATATAAAAATTCCTAGCTGCTCGTTTTTAATTTTAATAAAGCCTATATCCAAGTGGCTTTCGGTATTATATTTAAAAATCTTAATGAAATGATTATAACCTCTGAGAATTGACTGTTTATAAATGAACCTACTCAGGATGGACATCCACGAGAGCTGAGAATACTTTCCCTCACACTTTCAGATTTTAATAAAACCTAGACGAGCATTTTGTATAGGCTGAATATATAGATATAAAAATTTTCAGTAGGAAGCAAAACTGAGTCACTCGAAAGAACGTATGAGATGGATATTATTATCTCCATTTTAGGGAAGGAGAACCAAGCTCACAGATTAAGAAATGTGTCTAAAATCATTAAGCATTGGTAGAACTCAGAAACAAATTATTTACTGTAAATTGTTCTTAAGAGTTACATTTACTGAGCTGATCAGCAATTACTTATGCTGTGCTTTGTGACATCTCAAAGTCCTTTCTGCTACTGTTATTTAAAAACTTTACTTATATGCCCAGCTGGCGTGGGTCAGTGGTTGAGTGTCGACCTATGACCCAGGAGGTTCAATTCCCAGTCAGGGCACATGCCCAGATTATGGGCTTGATCCCCAGTGTGAGGCGTGCAGGAGGCAGCCAATCAGTGGTTCTCTCTCATCATTAATGTTTCTCTCTCCCTTCCTCTCTGAAATCAATAAAAAAATAATTTCCAAAAAAATTTTTTTTTTTACTTATAAATATATTGGTTTTTGTATTGCCTCTCAAGCCCATACACAGAGTAGGCTTTAATATACTTAAGTGGAATTTATAAAATTTAAATTAAAATACCAACATGCCTCATTTCTGTTCTGCCTCTCCATGTGAACTCTTAGCTATGTCAGTGAGTTAACCATTATATCTCTTCCATGTTAAAATTTCTCAACTCAGTCTTTTGTTGAAAAGGGTGGGATGTGAGCTTCCTCAAAAGGGAAATAACCCTCACCTATAATAATAAAAGTGTAATATGCTCATTAGACTGGAAGTCCTTCTGGACGACCTTCCCAATGAAGTCAGGACTTCAAGAGCCAAGCCCCTTGCCCGAATTTCATGCACTGGGCCACTAGTTTCATAATAAAATTCAATAGGAAACGGGGTTACTTCAATACAAATAAGCAGTGATTTGCAGATGTAATCTAAACTCTGTGTATCAGCAGCTGCCCATTGGTGGTCCATGAAGTCAGGAAGGTTAGTGACTGCTGCTGTAGATTATACCTACAAAAATCTAAGTTTTTACTAACTACTGAAGAATGACAAACCAAAGGATTTGTTTCAGGTCGCTTACTGACAATACTACTGTATAAATAAGGCATGTTAACATGATCACAAGAGGAAGAAGGTTCTTCCAGAAAGTAGCAATATGGTGTTCTCTGCTGCTGAATAAAAGAAGGTGAGTGCGAAGTAATATTTGCAGAGAAGAAAGTTCTCACCAGAAAAGTAGCTCTCTCAAATAGAAGCACTTCGTCAGCCTCAATAATTTCGGCAAAATTCCTCAGGTTCATTTCGAGCTGCTGAACATTGGGAATCAGCTGATAAACAATGCTGGACCAAGCCTAACAGGACAGAAACGTGGTGGAATATTACTGACAGGCAGCCAGTCCCAGACCTTTGCAAATGAGTAAGCACACTACGACACATGGACAGCAAAACACGGTGATAATTGAGTCCCAAATACTGATAACCAATGACATAAAACAAATAAAATGAGAAAGCAAAGCTAATATTTGACATTTACTCTTTAGTTGGAGTTTTTAAAAATTGTCAAACACTTGCGTATAATGCTGCGGAAACTTTTTCCTATTGATAATAAATAACTTAATTCCATCATGTTATCTTAGGAAAAGTTGAAAACTCTGATCTCCTATTGGGGTATAAAGCTTCTACTGCTGTCATTCAACAAATATTTAAATCCAACGGTGCAGACTGTACTAAAAAATCAGAACCTAATGATGCTATAGTTAACATATCCCTAAAAATCAGTTCTTTAAAACATATCAGAGCCACAAAGACAAACAGCCCCTCCCCTCAATGGGATAACATACAAGAGAAATTTTAAGAAAAATTAGTGCCAATATCATTCTAAAAGGCTTATATTCAGCTCTATAAATTATTGAATTTAAAATGGTCCACTGCGTGTTTGCCTAAAACTGACTTCATCTAAAGGAGTATGACTAAGGAAAGGAGTTGAAATTAACCACACCTCCCTCTAGTCTCTTATGGCTCTTGAATTTGAACCTCCATTAGAATACGTCCTTCAATCTTGCTCTCATTTGTCTGGCAAGGTGTGTAATGTTCTTCTCTACCACTAGAGGGCAGGAACCTGGTCTTAGTCATGTGTGCGGCCTACAGCATCAAGCAGGTATGTGATGAGTGCTTGCAGAATAAAACGGAATATAAAAATGTAAGTTAGCTCTATGCGACATTTATGCAAGCGAGAGTAGTGCCATGTCTCTGCTCCAATTAGTTTGTATTACTTAGGCATGGGGTTTCAGGCTCCAGGTTCCCAGGTCGGTGTTAATGTCACTGCTGAATTTACCTTGGAGAAGACACCAAAGCTAACCACAGCAGAGACATTGTCACTCACAGCAGTGTTGTGCTTAGCCAATTGTCTTTGGTCGTGTTATGTATTGCCATCCTTCACACCGCAGCTGGTTCTTATCAGTGCGTCATGTCCATCCTTATTCACGGTTACCTGTTCTATGGGAATAAGGCTTTGAGAGAAATTCGGCCCAAATGAACCTAGAACAGTATTTCCTAGACAGGTATCTCAAAAATGATCTGTTAATAGAGCGAGGCTGGGTCAACATAATATTGGGGAGGGAAATGAATTAGTGAAAAAATAAATAAAGCAATGGCTATATATTTAAAGTCCAGTGTTTTTTGTTTTGTTTTGTTTTGTTTTTCTCCTTGAGAAATCAGGTTTCTGTGCTTCTGGTTGTAGATCCTTGTTGTATGCAGTTGATACTGAGGCTGTAGCTACCAGGGACCGAGAAGGTTGTTTTTCCTACCCAGAGTCAAACTTGTCAACAGATACCAGAAGCAGTCTGAAGGAAAGGTCTGACCACAAGAGGGCGTCAGGGAGCCAGTCTTTCCAATCGCTGGATCAGTAGGAGAAAGGGAGGAAGCAGGATAAGGAACCTATGTGCCAATAAGGTCATTTCAGCTTTACCCGTAACACAGCTATTGTTGTAACCTCGAGGACTACCGCGAGTGGTGTGGTATCCATTCCAGCAGCAGGAACAATCTTTCTGGTTGAAAGAATGCTAGTCTCGCCCAGCCGGCGGCTCAGTGGTTGAGCGTCAACCTATGAACTAGGAGGTCTGGGCACATGCCCTGATTGTAGGCTCAATCCCCAGTGTGGGGCGTGCAGGAGACAGCTGATGAATGATCCTCTCTCATCGTTGTCTCTCTCTCTCCCCACCTCCCTTCCTCTGAAATCAATACAAACATACTTAAGAAAAAAAAGGATGCTAGTCTCCATTTGGCATGAATATGGATGCTACCAAATTCTAGGCAGACATGTCTCATTCTAAGACTCCCTTTGCCAATCTCTCCCTTAAATATTGTTCTTCTCCTGCCATCCAAACTTAGGCAGACTAGCACATAGCCTGTAGAAGTACCCGGATACTAGTCACAGCTCCAATCAGCATTGAGACCACAACAGGTCAAAATGGACGACAGCCAATGAAAGCTCAGCTGGCATGAATATCAGTATCAGATCAATCCTGACCAAACTGGCTAATTCAGTGTGGTTGGTAGGCATGTCGGCCCGATTTGAGATCAAAATCAAAATCTCTGAAGGTTAATTCTGATGTTCCAAATAATTCATTATAATTTTTTTAGTTCAACATTTAGATGGCTATGACAGAGTTTAAATCTTTTTAATAATACCCTTCTTGCTTTTTTTTTTTCATGCTCTAAACTGAGGGAACTCGGAGAAACATACACACCTTATAAAGAGTTTCATCCCAGATAGATGTCCGGAAGCAAGAACATTCCAGTGGGCGAGACAAACGCCTCAGATCTTCTTCTCGCTCTTTGAAAATCTGAATGAAAAAGCCCAGCACACTCATCAGGATACATAGCTCTCCTCTTTCTTTGCAAAAGCTGAGATATGATGATTTCTGCATATTTTGAACAGAAAGCATTTTCTCTTTCCTCAGAGGGATTTTTCAATGTGGACAGTACTTCAGAGACATTCTGACAGAAATGTTTTCAGGTCAGGTCTAAAAGTGATCCTACCTGTGATGGTGAATTTTATGTATTCATTTGGGTAGACCAGTGGTCGGCAAACTGCGGCTCGCAAGCCACATGCGGCTCTTTGGCCCCTTGAGTGTGGTTCTTCCACAAAATACCCCGGCCTGGACGAGTCTATTTTGAAGAAGTGGCGTTAGAAGTTGAAGTTTAAAAAATGTGGCTCTCAAAAGAAATGTCAATCTTTGTACTGTTGATATTTGGCTCTGTTGACTGATGAGTTTGCCAACCACTGGGCTAGACATTTGGTCAAAGATCACTTTCAATGTTGCCGTGAAGGTGTATTTTAGATGAGATTAATAATTAAATCAGTAGACTTAACGCAGATTCCCCTCCACGATGTGCGTAGGTTTCATGCCCCTTCCCTTTATTATACCTATCTACACACACACACACACACACACACACACACACACACTTATTGTTGGTTCTGTTTCTTTAAGGATCCCTTACTAATACACAGAAACACCCATCTTACTTGAAATTGATACTTAGGGAAGCGCCGAAACCGATTTGGCTCAGTGGATAGAGCATCGGTCTGCAGACTGAAGGGTCCTAGGTTCGATTCCGGTCAAGGGCATGTACATTGGTTGCGGGCACATCTCCAGTAGGGGATGTGCAGGAGGCAGCTGCTCAATGTTTCTCTCTCATCGATGTTCCTCTCTCTCTCTCTCTCTCTCTCTCTCTCTCTCTCCTTTCCTCTCTGTAAAAAAATCGATACTTAGAAAAGCACCCTAGCCATTTTCACTTCAAAATTTCCAAGTCTGACCGAATCTTTAATGAAACAGAACATATCTTTTGTAATTAAGTTTCAAATCCCACAAACAACAGCAATGCATCTCTGGAGTGTATAGAAACAACAACGAATGCCCTAGCCAGTTTGGCTCAGTGGACAGAGCACAGGCCTGTGGACTGAAGGGTCCCTGGTTTGATTCTGGGCAAGGACATGTACCTTGGTTGCAGGCTCCTCCCTGGCCCTGGCCCTGGCCAGGGCATGTGCAAAAGGCAAGCAATCTATGTGTCTTTTTCACATCGATATTTCTCTTTTTTCCTCTCTCTTCCATTCTCTCTAAACAATCAATGGGAAAATGTCCTTGAGTGAGGATTAAAATATATATATATATATATATATATATATATATATATATATATATATATATATATATATTCACACACACATATGTATATAAATATGTACACACAAATGACAAAACTTTATTTTGAAAGCTTAGGTGGAGATTTCTGCCCTGAAAAAAAGGATGGCACAAATGTCTCTATACTTCTACAAAAGAAGTGTGCAAAGCATGTCCGCCATTTCCTGCAGCAGCCTTTCTGTTTCTTACCAGATCCCGCTGATCCTCCTGTACCAGATCCATCTTGTGCACCAAGCAAAAGATTTTGGCATCTGGCGAGTTCTGCAGAATGGCCTCCAGGCATGACTGGTAATAGTGCATGTCCTTCTCCAGTTCGCGGCTCTCCACATCAAAGACATAAATCAGAACCTCCACATTTCGGAAGATGTTGTCCCGTTGGCTAGTGAAGTAGTTTTCCATGAAGGTGTCCTGTCTAGTAGGAAAAAAAAACAAGCAAGTCCTCAGTTTAGGACCTTCTACTTGTGATCCATCTTATATGAAAGATAATCGAAAAGCTTCGAATGACAGGGCAAATAATAGCAAACCGGTTTGACATCAATTTCTTAAGCCTTGCACTACCCTAAGGCCCTCTCCCTGTGTTACAAACATACTTTGACCTGTCCTTGGTTCTCCAGGCTTACCGTCTATTCCCCAAGGGGCCTTGACATTCATTGTCTCACCTGGCCCTACCTCAACATCTCATTCATTCCTACTCATCCCTTTAGATTTCAGTTCAATCCGTACTTCTTTACAAAAAACATCCCTGACCTCCCTGACGGGCAAATCCAGTCACCACAGGCCCTTTGACCAATACACTGTTCTTCTTTTTAACATTTCCAAGTATGGTTTTACTCATCTGCATGAGTTATGAATGAATGGCATTCTCTTCCCTAAACAGACCGTTCTAAGGTAAGGAACATGGTCTGTTACTGTTCGCCGCGGTTTCCCAGCTTTTAGCATAAAACCTGCCATTGATGAGGTGCCCAGTGAATATTTACTGAAGAATAGTCAATACTCTGAACGATATGAAAATGATTCCAAGAACACTTTATAGCGGAATGTTGCTCTCTGCTCCTTAGGCTGTGTGCTGTTTACCAAGGAATTCTCAATTCCCAGATGCCTAGCAAAAAACAGAATTTTGTTATGGGGGGGGAAAAAACACCTCATGAACCTAGTTTCCAGTCTTGCACTTTGCTATTAAATGACTGTGCAGCCCAGCCAGTGTGGTTCAGTGGTTGAGCATCAACCCATGAATCAGGAAGCCAAGGTTCAATTACCACAAGTCAGGGCACATGCCTCATTGCAGGCTCAATCCCCAGAGTGTAGGGGGCAACCTGTCGATGCATTTCTCTCTCTTTCTCCCTTCCTCTTTGAGAAAAATATATTTAGCCCTAACTGGTTTGGCTCAATGAATAAGAGCGTCGGACTACTGAACAGTCCCAGGTTCTATTCCAGTCAAGGGCATGTACCTCAATAGCAGGCTCAATCCCTAGACCTGGTTGGGGCCCGTGTGGGAGGCAACCAATCGGTGTCTCTCTCACACCGTTGTCTCTCCCTGCTCCCTTCCACTCTCTCTAAAAATTGGTGGAAAAATATCCTCAGGTGAGGATTAACAAAATATATATATTTAAAATAAATTAATATAAATAAATATAAATAGATAAATGGCCGTGACCTTAGATGCAAAATCTCACTGGACTTCAGATGCCTTATGTGTAAAAATGACATCTTATTGCCTAAAAGTAAGAGACTTGGGCTGATCTTGACACAGATTACGGAATTGGAAGCAATGGTAATAAGGAAGGATTTGGATGGAGAAATTTGCTAGGGTGTTAAGTGATCCATCTGCTAGCAATAATGAAGTCATTTTCTGATGGAATATTTGGCTATTTTGTTGTTGTTGTTGTTAACAGATACTCATTGAGCACCTAGTCCATGTCTGGTTCTATGCTAGGAACTGGGAAATGTTGAGCTAATTATGTCTGTTTACTTCATGAAGCACTTGGCTGTGCATTTCTTAACATCATCTTACTTAATCATCAAAAAACCCTATGAGTTGGCACAATCATTCTCTCTATTGTATGGATGAAGAAAGTGTGGTTCAGAGAGTTTACGTGATCAATGCCAGACAGCAGCTAACAGGGCTGAGATACAAATGCTAATATAACTCCAGGGCCTAAGCTCCTCACCAGTACGCTACCCGCCAAAGATCAAATGGCCACAGGGTAGGAAGCAATACCAGCATACAAGTGCAGTGAATGTTCATTTATGATGGGATATTCCAGGACTGCCTTGGCCATGAGAGAAAACACTGTCTCCTACTCCTTCCACGGAGGAAAGGTATGTGCTCAGGTCTTATGGATAGTGCTTAGAGTGCCTGGAGATAATTCATACACAGCCCGGCCTGTGTAGCTCAGTGATGACTCTCTCTCATCATTGATGTTTCCATCTCTCCGTCTGCCTTCCTCTCTGAAATCAAACAAAACCTATTTTCCAGCCGGAGATCTTGATGTCATCAAATGCCCACTCTAAATCAATCTGTATCCAATGGATCTATTATGGAAGGCAGCTATGCTCACCGCTCTACCGCCAACGCCAGCCAATGGGTCTCTCGTGAATGAGAGTTACTCAAGTGCATTCTCCATGCTGATTACTGCCACTGGCCTCACAGGTAATCAGATGGTACTTACCCACCACAGTCCCACAGGTTCAACACCAGGTTTCCCAGAAATCGAACATGGGAATGTTCTACATCAACTGGAAGGTAAATATGACAAATCTAGTAATTGCAGCATGCGAGGCGAAACTCAAACTAAGCAAAGCACTAAGCCCGGGATTTAGTAGGACCAGAGTGGAGTGAAATGCTCAAAGCCACAAGAAGGTGATTTTCAGCTTAGTAGCGTGGTTTAGTGGCAAGGTGGCACCCCGATTATCCTGAACTGGCTCTCATGTAAGTCGTTTTACTTTTTAGTAGTTTAGTGCTTGAAGCAGAGACAACTGCCAATTAAAATACTAATGTTAAAATCTTAACATGTAAGACAGAGACATATACCATTTAATAGCGCTATCCTGGTGCATGTACCCCTACCAAAGCCCTCCGCAAGAAATTTTTTAAAAGCAACAACCAACCCCGCCCCCCAAAACATACAACGTAACCATATTCACTCCTTCTATCGATTCCCTTATTTTCGTGACTGACCCGACCAATTTCACATTGGGGGTGGTCATGTTGACTCCTCTGTCCACATTCATTCATGGCTATCCTTTGTCATCTCCCTCATTTCCCACTCCTTGCTTTATAACCTGCCACTAACATTGAGGAAGGCCCTTCCCCTCTCAAGCCTACACAACCACAATAGCTCCACAGTTTCCTTCCGACCGGAAGCCTTCCCCCCTTTCTTTGACCCTCTAGGCTACTGCTAGGTTCATCTTCTTAGCACTACTTTGAACATGTCACTCCCCATTCAAAAAGCTTACAAGGGCTCCTCTATGTCTATAGGGGGGCGTTCAAGGTCCTTCAGAATCTCCCTTTCGTATTCCCCAATGAGACACATTAATAATGCCTTTTGCTCCAGTCCAATCTGGTTTGTTCAGAGTCCTCCCCAACCCCACTACCTCCCCAACCCCCAATGGACCTTACATCAGGGGTCGCAAACTTGCTAATAGGGGCCAGGCCAGTAAACATCCAAGAGCAAAGTTAATCATTTCTGAAGAGTAAACATTTACCCAGGGGGTCGATGGCGTGAGTGGCAGTTACTCAGCTGTAGCTCGTTTGCCATGCAGGAACATGGGTTTAGGATTAACAGAGCTGGCCATTTTTCAATCGTGGTGGGAAGTCCAGACTTTTAGAGAAACATTTACGTGTTGATAACTAATTCCAATTCTTAAGAACATTGGACAGGCCAAACAAAACACATCCACGGGCCTTTTCCAGCACGCAGTCTGCCTGTTTGCGACCTCTGCCTCACGCTTCCCTCCCATGCCCTCTATACTTGGCCTACTCTGTCCATCTGCCTAGAAAGTCCTCCCCACCTTTCTTTCCGACTTTGATTCATCTTGTAAGACCCAACTAAAACCCCCACTCCTCTAAGAGTCCTACCTGGCCACCCCCACTTACCGTCATCATTCCCTCTCAATTCATTCAAACATTTACTAAGCACCTACTCTCTGCCAGGCACTAAAAGTCACAAGGTGGAAAACCACAAATTTTTATCCTGGAAATTTCTCCGAGTGGAGCAGCTATCACCTTTACAATTGAGGTGACAGTCAATCAATCACTCAGTGGTATTTCTTCTATGACCAGCTCGAAGCTGTTGCTTAAACGGACAGCTAACTTTTGTGCAATTTTAGATTCTCATAAACTGTATCGTAAGCAGCAGAGCATTATTTTTTTTAGTGGACTCTGGAGCCAAACAGTTCTTAGTTCTATGTGTCTGTGTGACCTTGGGCAAGTCACTTCACCTCTAAGTATAAGTTTCATTCTTCTATTAAAAAAGTGCGGAGGCATACTCCTGACCTCACAGGCTTCCTGTGAGGATTGAAGGAGTTATCCTAAATCCAGTGCCTGGCACATAGTAGGTACTCAAACTACCTCCCTTCTCCCCTTTACTTCCCCCTCCTTGGAAAAGGAATCATATCTTACATGTCCTTGTATTTCCAACAGAGTCTACGAGAGAGTAGGTGCTCAAACTGCTATTAATTTGAAGACTATGTAAACGGTCTAGTACTAAAAAAAAATGGAAAGAAGTGCTACTGAGAAAGGGAAGACAATAACAAAAGAAGTGACAGGATTCAGTGACGGTTTAGATATGGAGCACACGGAATAGAAATCTGGTTTCTATTCCCCATATCACAGACATTGTTCTCATTAAGTGGCCAATGGCCTCATGTCAAATCCAGCGGACTTTTGAGTCCTTGTCTTACTTTCTATTGTATGACACTGTTGACCACTCTCTTCTCAAAAAAATTCTCTTCTCTCGGCCTCTGATATCACATCTACAACCTCTGGCAGATCCTCCTTCATGGCTCCTGTTCTTCTTTCTGACCCTTAAATGTAAGAGTTCTTCGAGATTCCACTGTTGGTCGCCTACTCTTCTATATATTCTCCTCTATTCATAATATTTTATTCTCTATTTGGGTACCGACAACTCATAAATATGTTCTCTCTAAAACATATTTCTCTCCTTCCTTTCTGAATCATAGAGTGGACATCTTCACTTGGTTAAACCACAAGGATCCCAAACTCAACGAGCGCAACTATAATTCATCATCTCCCCATTCTTCCCATAAAATCGATTCCTCTTTCGGTCTTCTCCATCTTAGGGAATGTAACCAGTTGCTTAAGCAAAAACCTTAGTTACATCCTTAAGTCCACTCTTTTCCCCGCCATTCCCCCCAAACCTATCAATCAGCAAGTCTTATTGACTCTACCTGTTAAAACATCCCAAATTCATTTACTTCTCATCATATCTATGACCATCACCCTAACCCAAATTAAGCCTCCTTCATCTTTTACCTGGTCTACTAAAATAGTTTCCTGATTTGTTAACCCGTTTCTACCCTTGCCTCCCCTAACCTATCCTCCAGATGACAAATATAATGGTCTCTCAAAAATGCAGATTATTATTCCAGTTTTCTTTAAAAAGAAAAGAAAACACATTATCTCTGTATAATTCTATATATGTCTGATTCTATACACTCAGGGGAAAAAAAAAGACCTGAGAATGAGGAAAGGAATATACTTTCTACACTTCCATCATGTTTGAATTTTTCACAAATATTATACTCTTGTCCTTAAAGTTGAACATTAAAAATGGTAAAATATGACTGTACTTTCTGTTTAAAATTCTCTACGGGCTGCCCTCTATTCTCAGTTCAAACTGCCTGGCATGGCTTATAAGGCACTTTATGATCTAAAACCCACTTTTTGCCTCCCTCTTTAGTCTCGTGTCTCCTATATGGCCCTCTGGCTCTCCTAGTCATCCTATCCTCTATTATAAGAGCAACTGAAACGAGCCAAGAACAGAACTCACATACATTTATGGGGCAGAAAGAAAAAAATATTATTTTAAAAAAAGGGAGGGCTGATTTAGAGATGAAGGGAGAAAACCAGGATAATAAGGCACTAAATAAAAAGGGAACAGAATTTTGAGAAGATCGGAAATCTCAGAGTCGTCAACAGTGTTTTAGAATACAATACTTCATAATCATATTTTCATTGACAATTTTACTCTTCCAACACAAACACATTTTAACAGCCCCCTAATGAAGTCATTATTATCACCATTCTGTATCCTTACTTCAAATTTCAAAACAAGTAGACTCTAAGATTAACAAAATAAAACTGGACTTTTTCATCAATGACAATCTAGCAAAAACACTAAACATTCAAGGTGATGTCATATATTTGACGTACTCTTTTACTACTTTTTAAAGAACATTTTCAAAGCTGCATACAAAGGAATTTTTAGTTAGTCTATAAGGTATGCAGGAGAACCCAAATGACAAACTAGTTAATGATACACCAAAGCATGAAGGCCAACACAATATTTTAAAGTATACCTTTTACTACCTTTAAGGAAATACAGTAATTGCTAACAAAGCATTATCAATGAAGGTCCCGCTTGAGACATGCTTAAGGGTAAGACCTCTGTCCCATTCACAGCGCCTGGCACACGGGAGGTCTGGAAAAGCACTTGTTGAATAAACAACCTGCATTGATGTATACGAAGTCATATAATTTGCAACGTACTGTGTATAACATTTCAGGGATGCTGCTAGCTTATTTTAAAACTATTGTAAGAAGCTACAGTAGTTCTGAAATTTGGATCGCAAGACTAGTCACTAGACTTAGGGTAGTAGGTAAACGCTACTAATTCCCTAAAAACAAAAATATTAACTGGACGAGAAAAAAGGTGCTTCAATAAAATGTACAGAATTTAAAACACAGAGAGAAAGAAGTCTTCCAAGAATTGTGGCTGTCGCATAGTGACTGGCATCCGGCATTCAGGCTTTTGAGGTGAGTGAGCTGAACTCCTGGGTCACACTTTGCTCATCTATGAAAATGAAGCTGACACAAGGACTAACGTAAACAAAATGGCATACGATAAACATTAGCTGCCTCTAATCTACTAAAACCATGTGATTATGAGGCCCAGATAGTTAAGTTGGAAGAAGAGGGAAAAAATGAAAATTGAGCAAATCAAGACAGGGAGGAAACTGGACAGGTACTTTCTAGAAGGAAGGTTCTTGAGGCATTATGGGCCAAAGGACCCCATCCTGACCAAGATTTCTGATGGAGTACTTAGCTAAAATCGAGAGGAGATGTTTATCAAGTGTACGAACTGTAAGAAGGCTAGGAAGAATAAGTAGCATAACAGATGAAAGAATCAAAGATAGGATTTACCCTATTTCCTACTGATAAGGAAACTGAGGCCCAGGAAAACAGCGACTTTTGTGCTGGACCTCACAGTGAACAAATGCTGGGGTTCAGGCACAAGTCATGGGTTAAAAACGAACAAATAGAGGTAAGCATGTATTCTCAGGTTCAAAATATGAACTGCATGAGAATCAGAATACGTGTTTCAATGATAATACCCTGTTTTCCCGAAAATAAGACAGTATCTTATATTAATTTTTTCTCCCAAAGTTGTGCTAGGTCTTATTTTCAGGGGATGTCTTATCTTTCCATGCGCTAGGTCTTATTTTTGGAGGATGTCTTATTTTCGGGGAAACACGGTATATGTGAAAAGAAACTGGGTGTTTTTAGAGGACTCAACATCATGGAAGTCACTCCACAAAAAAAACAAAGAGAGCCAGACGGTGCTGCCCAGAACATGACATGTGACCATTTTTTCGGCCCTAATCAGGCCACATCGACATTTGAGTCTTAGCACTTTAAGAAAAATGTAGATATGTTCAAACAAGTCCTTCAAAATCCTTCAGAATGGTGTCAAGTGAGGCACAGATGGAGGAAGTGGAGATGTTTGACCTCAGGAAGATAAGACCGGGGAGGTAAGAGATGGCTGGGGCTGATTGAGACATTTATCATACACAAATATTTGCAGAGACTCAAGAGAGCGGAAAGGGGCCCAGCCAACAGAAATAAAGGGGAATAGACTCGGGGCTGTAACTAAGAAATGGCTTTCTAGCCATTAGAGCTGCTCCAATTAAGAGTCTATACTCCACGCCTCGCCCAGAGATGAGGTTCCCTTCTCCTCTGTATCCTAGCACCTGGGAGGGACATAAGGTGTTTTTAAAAGGTTTGTTGTTCTCAAAACCACAGCAAGATGCCTTATGAAGTGGCGGGAGACTTGTCCCTGAAAATGGTCAGGATGCCAGAAACCCACATCAGGAAATCTTTAAAAAGCCAGATGAGGGCAATGGCTTCGTCACCTAGAGGCCCAGGACCATGACAGGATCCGGAAGTGCTTGGATGCTGCAAAATGAAATGGCGTCACGGCCTAGGAGCGTGGATCCGCTGGCGGCCCAGTGAGCGAGCCTACGCGAAGAAGCCAGATTGAACATTCCAGCCATCAAGGGCAATGAAATGTTTCTCAAGTTGAAGCCAGAACTCCGATGAGAACATCCGTGTGTATCCAGGAAGAGAAACAGCAGAGCGCAGATAAGGTTAACCTCCTTCTCATAACCCCTGCTCCCCCCACCCCCCCCCCACCCCCCAGCAATTTACCTTTTAACAAAGCCTAGGACTAGCAGCTGCTTAAAAAAAACAAATCTTTGGCGATTTCATTGTTATGCCTGTTAATACCTATCAATGAATTTCCTTTTACATAATGACAGTTCAAAAATAAACACCTGCCCCCCCCCCAAAGAAAAAAACAAAACAAAAAACACACAAACAAACAAACAAAAAGATCCCTATGCTTGTTTAAGAAAAAGCGGGGTAACAGAAGTTGCACACGGGCATTCCACTGGGTAAGCAACCTAGACGAGAACCACCCAAGAGCGCAAGCAGTAGTAGCCAGAATCAGGCCAAACACCTCTGCAAAGAAATGCAACGGGGAGAACATGCTGCAAAACCAATCTTTCAACCTCTGCATGGCCGAGTGGCTGCAACCAAGTGTGTTATGCGGATCATCAACAGTTCAGATCACCTGACTTGACAATTAAGATAAAACATCTTACTTGTTGCACCAAGGCGACGGGTGTCTCTGGCAATATAATTTGCAAAGATAATTGATCTCATGCTGGTCTTACCAGATCCGCTTTTACCCATCAATAGCACCTGAGGACAAAGTGGAGGAGGGGGAAAAGAATGAAAAGAAGTTAGCAAGCTAAAGCAAATCAAGTCTCCAGGGATCTCTCTCTCTCTCTCTCTCTCTCTCTCCTGTACTTGATGTTTTCCTGAAGTAACATACCAGCAACCTGCTGCGGGTAATGGTGACTCATTCCTCAACCAGAATCCCCAGAATTCCAGCGCCCCGATGCTTAGCTGTCATGAGTCACACATCCTCTTGGCAACAGAACTGCAGTGCATTTATTATGCTATGAGTATACGTCAAATATTCATATATTCAAAACCATGTTAATGCCCAGCCAGCATGGCTCAGTGCTTAAGCATCCCGGTCAGGGCGCATGCCTGGGTTGTGGGCTCAATCCTCAGTATGGGGCGTGCAGGAGGCATCGATCAGTGATTTTCTCATCATTGATGTTTCTCTCTCTCTCTCTCTCTCTCAAATCATTAAAAATATATATATTTTTAAAAGTGATATTACTGACAGAGTAACTTGAATGGAAACTGAACCCTGATCTCGCATGATCTAATGTTTTGTGCACTGAATAGGACAGATTTCCGTATAACCCAAGTTTTTTCTCTTGCTCAAGGTCAACCTTTCCATCCCTGCTACCCATCTCATCCTATCTACTGACCTCCATGATTTTGCTCTGCTTCTTTTTTTCTCTCTCAAATGTCCTATGGCCTACAACAGTGGTCGGCAAACCGTGTCTCGCTAACCACATGCGGCTCTTTGGCCCCTTGAGTGTGGCTCTTCCACAAAATACCACGTGCGATTGAAACTTCGTGGCCCATGCGCAGAAGCCGGTTGTCGGCCTGGGCGAGTCTATTTTGAAGAAGTGATTCTAATGCCCAGCCAGTCAAGGGGCCAAAGAGCCGCATGTGGCTCTCGAGCTGCGGTTTGCCGACCACTGGCCTCCGGGATCAAGTCCTTAAACCACATATTACAGCCCCCTTGATCTGGCTTGTTTATTCCTCTGCCCTCATCTTCTGACCGTCCCTGCCTGGAACTTTATTGTCCAGCCATACTGAACTGAGCTGCTCGTGGAAACTTTCCCTGCTCCCAGATCTCCGGGGCCTGTGCACTATGTCTTTGTTTCACCTCGGACTCTCTGCCAGTAGCTTTCCGTTCCCTTTTCTTTCTCCAGCTAAGCTCCACCCATTCTTCAAAATTCAGTTCAGTGACCATCTCCTCAAAAAGCTTATCTGGCCCTGGCCGGTGTTGCTCAGTGATTAGAGTACCAGTCTGCATACCGAAGGGTCGCAGGTTTGATTCCCAGTCAAGGGCACGTACCTGGGTTGAAGGTTCAATCCCCAGCCCTGGTGAGGTCTGTGTATGTGTGTTTGTTTGTGTGTGGCAACCAATCAATGTTTCTCTTTCTTTCTCCTTCTCTCCCCTACTTCCTCACTCCCTTCCCTTCCACTGGCTCTGAAAATAAAAACTATCCTTGGGTGAGGATTAACAACAAAGAGCCGCTCTGACCCTCTGACCGCAATCCCCTAGGCTGGCTTAGGTAATTCTCACCTCTGCCCTTCCATGACACTCTTATAGCACTACAAAGACCACAATGCATTGCAGTTAGCCCATTCTTTGGTCTGTCATGACAGAGAATCCCCTTGGTAGCTTCAGCGTCTAACATATAACAGATGCTCAACATTCATGTTTCTCAAATGAATTTGCCGACCACTAGCCTAAGGAAATGTTACTCACGAGCCAGTATAAAGTTGTTATAAAAAACGTTTTGTTTTTCTTATTCATGCACACATTTCTGGTATTTTTAGACAGTCTTATTAATTACTTTAGACAGGCTCATCAAGAACATCCCCTTAGCGAAGTGGAGTTTTTTATATAATAATTATTAAATGAAGTTAGGCTTAAATATATTTCTTTAAAAAAATGATTCTTGCCGAAACCAGTTTGGCTCAGTGGATAGAGCGTCAGCCTGCGGACTGAAGGGTCCCGGGTTCGATTCCAGTCAGGGGCATGTACCTCGGTTGCGGGCACATCCCCAGTAGGGGGTGTGCAGGAGGCAGCTGATCGATGACTCTCTCTCATCGATGTTTCTAACTCTCTATCCCTCTCTCTTCCTCTCTGTGAAAAATCAATAAAATATATTTTAAAAAAATGATTCTTTACTGTTAAAAGTATTACATATGTCCTCCTTTTTCCCCCATTGACTCCCTCCAGCCTGCCCCCACCCACCCCCCCAGGCCCTCACCACCCCACTGTCTGTGGCCATGGGCCATGCATATATGCATACAAGGTTCTTGGTTGGTTACTTCCCACCCCCCCTTCCCTCCAAGATTCCACACTGTTCCATCCTTCCATGTCTCTGGATCCACTCCATTCATCAGTTTGTTACTTAGATTCCCCATATGAGTGAGATCACGTGACACTTGTCTTTCTCTGACTGACTTATTTCACTTAGCGTGATACTCTCCAGGCCCCTCCATGCTGTCTCAAAGGTTTTTTGTTCTTTTAATTTAAGAAATCTTGCTTTAATTGTTTAGGAAAGACTGTGTGAGGTGCTGATCGAAGTGCTTGGCACGTATTTGCTTATTTAAACTTCCTAACTACCCTATGAGATAGGTAATGTCATCACCATTTTACAAATGAAGAACATAAAAGCCCCAGAGGTCCAAACACTCGCTCCAGAGTTGTGCTCTTATGAATTCTGCCTAAAGGGCAAGTTGGGTACCATAGAGCACAAGGGAAAAAGCCTTCAATTCCACCTGGAGCCCTCATATTAACATCCTATAGCGGCCCAGCCGGTGTTGCTCAGTGGTTGAGCGTTGACTTGCGAACCAAGCGGTCATGGTTTGATTCCCAGTCAGGGCCCATGCCCAGGTTGAGGGCTCGATCCTCAGTAGGGGAGGTGCAGGAGGCAGCCAGTCAATGATTCTCTCTCATCATTGATATTTCTCTCCCTTCCTCTCTGAAATCAATAAAAAATGTCTTTTTTAAAAAGACCCTATAATGGTAACATTTGGGTTGGGTTCAACAAAAATGTGCTGGCTTGTGTATGGCTTACAGAAAATGCAAATTAATTTGTACATCTGGAGAAAAACAAATTCTGTATGGCTACGCTAAGGCGATTAGGTGTGGCAGAATGTTTAGTCAGGAATCGTTTTTAAAGAGCATTCTATGCCATGAAACCCCTTGGATTTTATCCTATGGGCTTTGAGAAGTTACAAAACGGTAATGTGAATGACCCAGATAGATACATGTCTCAGAAACAGTAAATCAAGAAGTAAACACTGGGAGAACATGGTTACACATTTTCTGAAGAGTAACTTCTTACCTTCCCCTTCATGTTTTTGATGTACTTAATGCATCTTACCTTTTTCTTCAAGGCTGTATTTGGCAGCGCCCACCTGCAGGTATAAATCATAAGACAGAGTTTCCATGATCCAGTTGCCTCTGAAATTGGGCTTAAAGAAACACAAATCAATATCGAGATGCAAAAGAGTGTGTTTCGAACAACAGCTGAGCACGGCTGTGCGTGGCTCCTCAGTGGCGTAGAGGCCCTCATTTGCCTAAATTATACAACTGGCTTTATGCTAACCTGGCCCCTAATTACATGCTCAGGAGATAGCTCCTAGTTATATTTATTAAGGAATATAAATGAGCCATTAAAATGCAAGATGCCACTATCCATAACCTTCATTTTTTTTTTTTTTAAGCAAAGCAACATACACAAGTGCTTTAACAAAGCTAACAATGTTGCCGGATTTAAATGTCCTCTGTTTGATTTTTAAAGCTAGCCTCCGATTTTAAAAATGTGGGAGCATCTTTAACCCTTCGGCTGTCCTTCCAAGTCCTATTTCGCTCACTGCAGGCACAAAGGATATAAAATACAAGACTCGATTGCAGATACAAATTGGCACAGAAAGCACTCTCAAGTCCATGATCTCTGCCCAGGCAATACCCACCCTCCTTGTAAGTCTTCTCATCCTCAACATGGTGATGCCCAATCTCCTTTTATTAATCATCCAAAACAATTCAGAACCGTCACCTCCTTTAGAACACACCTTCCAGGGCTGGTATCAGGCCTGTCCCTTCCCGTCCCGAGGGATTTTTCGGCCCAGTTCCCAACCAGCCCTCTTTCCAGTTCACCCAGTCCCCAAAAGCATGATACTGATCAACCCTACTGGTAAACAGAAGCAATCGATCGCGGGTGGGGTGCTCTAATTCCAATAGTCCCTTCGGTCCAAAGCCCCTCACCCCCTACCCCCACCCCCACTTCCAGGTTTGGCAGAATCCCCTTCACCCACCCAAGCGATCCTTCCGGCTCCCCAATGGGAGGGTCCGCTCTTGGCCCCAGATTCTCCTTCTCCATCTTTTTCTCGGAGTCAGATTCTTCCATCGTGCAACAAGTCCTTTGCGGTCCCTGCTACAGCCGCAGTACGCTTGCTGCCCCCCCCCACTCGGCCACCCCCTCAGCCGCCTGTCCTCAGCGCCTGCAGCCCCTAGGCCCGCTCCGATCTTGCCTTCGCCTTTGTCCACTGGGGGGGCTGCTGGCCCCCTTTACCCTTTACCACCTCAAACTTGGCCCCGAGGCACAGCCCAGCCGGCCGGCTCCGAGGCTAAGGGATGCGGTGATGCAGAGGAAGAGATGGAGGAGGAGCGGGGGAGCGGGAAAGAGGGGGTGAGGCGGGGATGGGGGGGGGGTCTCGAGTTGGGGCCTCACGCCCCAAGGTCTCGGGAGACCCAAAGGTGACTTCACCCGCAGGGAGGTGGGGATGGCGGAGGCGGAGGCGGCAGGAGGAGCAGAGCGGCGCAGGCACTGAGCGGCGATCGCAGCTGGGCTCGTGCTGCCCGAGCCCGCCCAAGCCCGCGAGTCCGCCGCCGGCGCTGGCGACGTTTACGACCTAACCGCCCGCCCTTCAGGAGCCCAGGTGCTTCGCTGCAGCCACACGACTGCGGGCGGGGTCACGTGGGCACCTGCCGTAAACCCGGGGCCCGTGTCACGTGACCGCCGCTGCCCAAGGCGCGGGGGCAGAGGAGGATACCATAGAGACTGCGCGCAGGAGGGCAGAGTGCCCACCGCCCCCCCCCTCAGCGCCGTCACGTGGCCCCCGCTCCGGTGGGGCCCCGCCCGGCGGCGGGCGCTCCCCTGGGGGGCTATCCGGGTCCCACCCGCCTGCGCGATGAGTTAAAAGGGACCGTTGTGATTTCTGTGCCACAAAGCTAGCTTTCCCCCCCCCCCCCAACTGCTCTTTCTCCCTTCACATTTTTGGTGGGGAAGGCATTGTCTTTACCTGTCTGTTTTGGAAATTTCTATCTTCCTTTTCTTTAAAAAATATATATTCTATTGATTTTCTACAGAGAGGAAGGGAGAGGGATAGAGAGCTAGAAACATCCATCAGCTGCCTCTTGGACACACCCCACTGGGGATGTGCCTGCAACCAAGGTGCATGCCCTTGACCAGAATCGAACCTGGGACCCTCCAGTCCCCAGGTCGACACTCTATCCACTGAGCCAAACTGGCTAGGGCTGTTATATTCCCTTTGTAAATTATCAGTCCCTATAACGGAGCTTGTCATGAAATGAGTTAATAGCATCTGAGCGGATGGCCACTGTGTCTGCTACATAGCGCTCAAGGAAAGTTATTGTTGGGACCAGTGGTTCATAGGGGATTCTAGGACACACACCTATCTCTCACTTGTTTAAAACGGGAAGGGGAATGCATGCTCATAGACCATAGTAAACGTCAAAAGATGAAGCCCAAAATTGATCCTGAGGAACTGCTGACAGGTATATACTTAGTATGTTTAGATGATGAGACCACCAGGAAAAAAAAATGGCCAAAAGAGTTCAAAAGGGGAGGGGATAGGAAATTAAGGGCCTTTTGCTTTTCATCTTAAGCCCTTTTGTATATTTAGTATATATAAATGTATGTATTAAATATATTTCTATAAATGTATACATAATGAAATTATACACATACATTTAAACCACATGTATATGTTACTTGTTAAGAAAGAAAATGAGCCCTAGCTGGTTTGGCTCAGTAGATAGAAGGTCGGCCTGGGGACTGAAAGGTCCTGGGTTCGATTTTGACCAAAGGCACATGCCCAGGTTGTGGGCTCCATCCCTAGTAGGGGGCGTGAAAGAGGCAGCCAATCAACGATTCTCTCATCATGGATGTTTCTATCTCTCTCCCTCTTCCTCTCTGAAATCAACAAAAATAAATTAAAAATATAAATTAAAAAAGAAAGAAAATGAACGGAAGAATGAAGGGAGGGAAGAGAAGGAAGACTGGATAGAACATGGTGTTTTCTGCTCCCAGTCTTCCCCATTTGCCATCCTATACAATCCCTTCTCACCGCAACTACAATGCCTCAAGAAAAATGTATTCTATTCTGATCACATGATTCCTTAGCCCTGTCACTCACTAATCACCTTCCTTCTCCCCACCAGCTGCCTCCAAACCAGCTCCTGTTTTTTTCTCTGAAATACCCTAAGTCCAAACCAGGAAATCACTAGATTTATGGCCCTCCATACAAGACAGTGAGATGAAATGATGATTAGTGTCAATAAGGTAAAGCAGTGAAGACAAATTTTATTCAATAACTATTGTCAATAGGGGGAAAGCTAGCTCCGTTCCAGTTTGGACATTTTACAGGGATGGGGGAACCGGGGGGGGGGGGGGGCGGGCAGGGATCAGTAGAGTCAGAGAAATGAAAAATTACAAAAGATTGGTCTGTGTCAATGCGGATTAAACCAGCTGTATCTGCTAGCTGGCAGTTATCAAAATGAGGAGTCTATCTTCCCACAGATACAGGAAGACAAGGCCCTAACCTTCCTGATGATTACATTTCAAGGGAATGACTCTCAGGACCTTGAGAAAGACACTTCTGAGCTGTAAGAACATTTGATAAAAATGTAATCCCTTTTTATCAAATGTTTTGAGAAAAGTAGGTCAGGGACCTACCATTAGACTAGAACATACTGTAATTCTCCTTGCATACAAGATTTCTTTTCAGACAAGCTTCTTTTGATTCTTTTTGTTTGTTTCTTTTGTTTGTTTCTTTTTTTTTTTTTTTTTCCTGTTAACCCTCACCCGAGGATATTTTTTCCATAGATTTTTTTTTAGACAGAGGGAGAGGGAGAGGGAGAGGGAGAGGGAGAGGGAGAGGGAGAGGGAGAGGGAGAGGGAGAGGGAGAGGGAGAGGGAGAGGGAGAGGGAGAGGGAGAGGGAGAGGGAGCGGGAGAGGGAGAGGGAGAGGGAGAGGGAGAGGGAGAGGGAGAGGGAGAGGGAGAGGGAGAGGGAGAGGGAGAGGGAGAGGGAGAGGGAGAGGGAGAGGGAGAGGGAGAGGGAGAGAAGAGAGATGTGAAACAACTCCATCTGCTGCATGCTCCCCAACAGGGGACTAGGGATTGAACCTGTAACCTGGAAATGTGCCCTTGACCAGGAATCTAACCCTAGATGCTTCAGTGCACAGGCTAATGCTCTAACCATCGAGCCACAACGGCCAGGGCACACACACACAAACATTCTAATGAAAAGTTGGGGTCAATGCAGAACTGGGGTAATTCTAGGGGTATGGCAAGCCTCTTACTGCAGGGGTTTGGACAGAGGTATGTGCTGAGACTTCTAAATTTCTCATTAGTCCTTTTCTACAATTTGTCTACTCCTTCCAATTCTTACTGATGTCGTTTTGTTCCAGCTGTTATAATACCTGGCCGGGTAATTGCTATAGCCTCCTAAGTGATTTTCTGACAGTGGCAGTTCCAAAGGAGTAGGGAGTGGGTGGAATAATCTAATCTTCATCAGTAATCTCATCCCCAAAAGGCACTTAATGTAATTAATATGTGCTTGTTATGTAAAGGCAGCTTTCAAACATAAACCCCACCCTCCTCACCAGGCGTCACCAGCCGTATTGTGTTCTTGAACTGCTGTTTTATTTTTTAAATAATTCTTTATTGTTGAAAGTATTCCATTTGTCCCCCTTTCCCCCCATTGACCCCTTTCAGCCCGCCCCCCATCTCAGTCCCTCCTCACCCCATTGTCTGTGTCTATGGTCCATGCAAGGTCCTTGGTTGATTACTTCCCATCTGCCCACTCTCCGCCACCTTCCCTGGAGCTTTAGGGATATTCTCTGTCTCCCTGTTGTTGGTCTCCCTTTACCCCTTCTCCAAATCACCACTTTTTTCTGCCCACTCTCCCTCTTTCTATCAAAGACCATGATACAGCTGGTACAGAGAAAGAAAGGGAAGGGAAGGGATGAAGATGAAAAGTGGGAGAAGTGGAGCCAAGTGTGTTGCTCCATTAAAGAAAAAAAAGAGAGAAAGAAAAGTGGGAGAAGTGGAGAGTTGGGAAGAGAGAAAGTAGAGAGGAGAAAGGTGAAGAGGAAAGAGGAGGTATAGGGGTAGGAGGATAGTTGTGAAAGAAATGGATTTGAAAAATGATTGAGGTACTAAGTCAAATTAAGAGTTAATTCCAAAGAATGAGGAATAAGATTGTTGGTACAATGCATTCCTATAGAGGTTAAGATTCTGGTTTCTATCCAGATATCCCTTGCTGCTTAGTATTTTTACATTTTTATTAAAGAATCTTGCTTAGAAAAGAGATGAAGTTTGCTTTTTCATTTTTATTTTTGTCAAATTACTTTTTAAACTTGTAATTATAGTTTCTTTTCAGAAAGCTCTGCAGGCTTATTCATGCATTCATTCAACAAATGTTTACTGAGCAGCCAGGAAATATGTTAGATGCTAGAAATACAAGCATCCCGCTATTTCCGGTCCCACTTCCTATCAGTGCTTCTATATAACATTCACTATACTCAGATACACATGAACACACACATCCCAACACATCAGCATTCTGTCTGTCCAGATCCTACCCCGTATTTTTTCAACTATCCACCTCAGCAAGAAAAAGTAGTATAGACCCATAAGATCGAATATAATAGGTTTCTTTTTACTGCCATACTTTACTTAATTTTGTCATCTTTATCCTCAACCATACCCAAGTCTCCAATTCCCAACTGTCCCTCATAACTCCCTTGCCCTTCTTTCTCCTCCACTCTTCTCTGCTCCTTTTGACCCCATAGCTATCATTGCTATTTCCCAGAACGGCATGAGTTTATTACTATGCCCTGCTGGAAACTCTTTCCTCCGCATTCCCACCTCTTTGAGTGAAATATCAGGAAATGATCTTCCAGCTAACTGGACTTAACGATTTGATGAATAATTTCTAATGGAGGGAATTTTTTGTCTGCCTGCCCAGCATGGAAGGAGCTTAGAAATTGCCACTCCATGCTAACAAGTAAAGTCTGACCAAACTGAAAAATACATATCTTCCTAGAGTCACCAGAGAAGTAACTCACAAGGAAAACCAATACCTCTAAAATTGAAGAGACAGCTTTAACTAATTTGGCTCAGTGGATAGAGCATCGGCCTGCGGACTGAAAGGTCCCTGGTTGGATTCCAGTCAAGGGCATGTATTGATACCTTGGTTGGGGGCACATCCCCAGTAGGAGATGTGCAGGAGGCAGCTGATCGATGTTTCTCTCTCACCGATGTTTCTAGCTTTCTATCCCTCTCCCTTCCTCTCTGTAAAAAAATCAATAAAATATATTTAAAAAATAAAATTGGAGAGACAGACAGGCAGATGTAGACAATGATAACTCTCCAGAACAGGAGCTTACACACAGAAACCTTTATGGGAATTACTCCTGGGATAGGAAAACCTGAATTGCAATTGATCATTTTCGGGACAAGTCTGAGAGTTAAAAACTCTAGAACAGCCCATTCATAGGGGTCCTCCACTCTTTTGTGAGTTTTACTTCCAGGAACTCTATTAGCTCCTCACAGTGACTATCGGAGGAAAATATCCTTCTGCCAATAGGAGGGGGAAAATAATCATTGTTTAAACAAACCAGATTTCCTTTTGTTCTTAACAGGGCTTTCTCTCTAAAGAAACGATTT